TCTTGCTCTGCAAACATGGCTGCGGCTATCATTTTTTGAGAATCAAGGAGTCGAGTGTACTTCTTTGTAGCCTGGGTAAAATGTTGTGTCAAGATCTAACGTCTACCTGTTGACTATTTTGAAGAACCAAGTTCTCTACCAACTGATTGTTGTGACGTACCAGCACACTACTCTGAGTGTCAATCTGAAGGGGCGACAATTAAATGTTCCTAATCTCATTTAAGCAGCATTTTAGAGGCGACTGGATTGTAAACCCCTTGTTAAACGATCGAGCAAATTCATTCGACATCTTGTTTAATGCACTCAACGTGGGTGGGCCGCCGAAATCGAGCAGAGACCTCATACAACTAACGGTTTTGACCAGTTTTCTTTTCCCTTTTATACTAGCTTTATGGCTAAACAACAAATATTTTCACGCGAGGAGAAAAGATTAGTTGCAAATGTTTGATCAAGTTCAACCTTGGAAAGTCAGTTAATTACAATGTAGAGAAAGCAGAGGCTTCGATGCAATATCGGTTTTAACTAAGATATTTTTCTATTTCATACCAGCTTTGTGGCTAAACAGCAAATATTTTCGAACGAACTGAACATGATTCAATGTATCGCTTTTATCATATTACTGTTCCGCATTCATTTGACACTTTTCCACTAAAAAGTTGGCAGGATCCTGTGGAACTATTGTATTGATTATTGAAAAAAGTTATAGTTGAGTCCCAGGCCAGTTAATTCAATCAAACAACACCGATGCATCTTTGAAAATGTTAGGCTTCTTACCTGCTTTTGCGGTCATTGTTTGGATGAACTAAGCTGTCGGCTTACTGTTAACGATACACACCCAGATTCAGTCCGAAAAGTCTGCACGTACAGTAAAAGCACTGGGGGAACCTTTACGCTATAACCTTTGAATTTCGACCAATAGCAGGTAAGGGGTTTAATTTCCTTAACAGGTTTTTGTTCTTTAAAACGTCTGATTGGCCAAAAAGTCACAGAACTGAACTGAATTAAACTGCTGCAAGTAATTTGCATAATTTGTTTTTGTTCAGGAAACATGCGTGAGAGGACAGAAGTTGTTTTTCGGGGTAAATGGGCTAACTACATGCACGACTATAATGTAAATAAAATAAGAGAGATGGCAAGTTTTGAGCTCGGTAAAGAAATAGAGAAAGATGATTTTCGTCGTGTCTCGAGCGTGGAACAAAGAAAACATTCTGAGTCCCCATGAGAAATCGAACGTCAGACTTCCGGATTCCGTGCTCCGATGCTCTTCCACTGAGCCACAGAGACTCTACGTTGAGCGAGGTCTGTGATCATTATCCAGTTTTTATGGTTCCTTGCTGGGAATGGATCTTACAAATAAAAAATAGGCACAAACGGGAAAGACCCCAAACACTTCTTATAGTGAGCAGAAATTTATGACGTCAAACCCTTGATGTGCAGTTGAAGTGCAAACCATTAAACAATGAAACAACCACTTAGAAAGGATTCCTTTTTTCCCCTGCATACATGAAATGTGCTTTATTTATTGGTCTGCCTTCAGGATGTTAGAATACTTAAATAAAAAAAAAGTTATAGTCGAGAATTCTTGAATACTTAACTCGTGGAAAACAAACAATTTGAGTGGAGTTACGCCATGCCTTGATATTCTCAGAACGTTGATCAAGAGAGATCTGAAAGCTTAGAAAGACCCCTTTCTTTTAATCAGTGGTAGTACTAAATAACTGCCCGCCGCTCTTTAAAATGTCTAATATAAAGATACAGTTATTAGAAACGTAGAAAAGAGAATATAGTCTTTTTTTTGCTCTCACTTTTCAGTCAAGGCCACGGAAAGATATTTTTGATGAAACACGCCTTTGCCCACGATTACTTCGATTTGTTCCATGAATCCTAACATGCTGCAGCAGCCAGTGTTTCAAATTTAATTACACCCCAGCTCAAAAACATTGCAGTTGTACAGGGTAAGATTGAATTTCTAGGACATAAACGTCTCACCTTACAAAAATCCCTTAAGCTCAGGCACGTAGCACTCGGTATTTGGTAAATAATGTTTCAAGGTTAAATTACGAACAATTACAATTTCTTTCACGATTATCTCAAAGTTTGAGTTCTCCTCAAGACTTCAAATCCTATCAACAAAACACTTCGTTAAAAAAAAGAACGCCTGGAAGTACAAGAATAGTATGTCTGAATAAATCTTGATCAGTGTTTGGTTACTTATACTCTCAGGTAATTACGCTGCAAACGGTTGCAGTTTTTATCTAAAGCACCTCAAAGGTCATGTTCTCGTCAAGTCTACAGTCACAAAAAACTAAAGTTTCAAATGGGTCCAGATCATTTGCATTTCTACCAGTTTTTCAAATGACACTCTATTGAGTCTTGGGTTTTATGCCGAGGATACCACGCCAATAATCGGTCATGAACACTTGGTCGGGGTCATGTTGTTCTCGCAGCTTTAACCAATCATCCATCTTAGGGTAAACACTCTTCAGATAATCTGCGTTGAATGTGGTGTTTCCACACTTTTGACCAGGCAGTGGAAGGTACTTGCCCCAGTGCAGGCGAGTTCCAGGGATTTCCAGCAAAATATCCCAGAAGTACGAGAAGAACGTCCTAGCGTCGCCCTTGTTGTAGGCCCACCAGTAGGGATCGACTCGCACCATGTCTTGTTGGTATGACATGCTCAGCCAGAATGGAGAGCTCTTAGCGCCATAGATCTCAGTGGCAAAGTTGTTGGCCGCTTTTTGATTCTCAGAGAACAGCTTTTGGAGCTTGTCCATCACGGTTTGACATTGGCTGATTGGAACCCAGATCTCTGTGAAGTCCACCCTAATGATGGTGTCCACATGGGCTTCGTTGTCCATAGGCAGAGCATGATACCACATGTCGTAGAACTTGGTCGGTTTGTCGTTCAGGGGGACAAATTGACACAATATCAAGCCAATGATGTCGTAGTCCAGCGCTGTTGGATCTTTCTTTTGCAGGATGAAATTGCAGATGGACAGTGCGATGGCTGCCATACCAGCTGCTAATATGTTGGACAAAATGGAGTTGTATGGTACAATATCTTTCTTTTCGAAGGATTGTTGACCAACCCATTCCTGAACACGCATCACTTCCTTTTGTGGAAACCAGTTTACTCGCATGTATTCGTTTTCTTCAAGACTTTCCCTGAGCTTGCTCTGCCCCTTGTTGTTGGGTCCAAGCATGGAGTCAGCAAACTTGTGGTTGGACTCTGACCCTTTGATAAACTGCATCGGTGGAAGACGGAATGTTACTCGGGTAATGACACCAAACAGCCCCATGGAAACACCTACTGCACACCAAAGATCAGTTTTAGGTTTGGCCGTTTGAACTTGTGCATTGCCGTCCACAAACTCGATCTCTTGGATGACATCAGCAAAGCCATGCTTTAAGCTTCCACCTGCAGAGCCAGTCATGATAAAGCCACCAACGGACTGCTGGATGATTCCTCCCAGCTCAGGAAAGCCATACCCCTGGACTGCCACCTGATAGCAAGCTGAATTCTGGAAGGTTGAATGAGGGTCCAAGGGATCCTTGCCAAGATAGCAGCCTCCTCCGATACGACAATACAACCATTTCTTGCCATCTTCTTCGGTTTCTTTCAGTATTTCTACTTTTCGAAGGTCATCTTTCAGTACCAGTGTGATGCCATCCTTAGGATAAATGGCCGCGTTTACGGAGTGTTCCGATCCAACGACACGGAGGACTTTCTTCTCCCTCTTAGCTCTATTAACTGCATCTATAACGTCTTGAGTATTGGAAACGGAGGATCGAACATATTCTACGGGCACAATGTGACGTCCGGGAGTTATAACACTTTTTGACTCATCTTCCATAAGATGCACCATTATTGGGTCCAACAAATCTAATCCTGACGAATGATCGATAATGGGAGTGACGATTCTACTAAAGAATGCTTTGGCCTCAGTAGCCTTATCAGCCTCTGAAACTGAAGAAAAAATTGGAAAAGTCCATGAGATTGTATTGCGTCATATAATAGAATAGAACCATTAGTTATCATTAGTGTTATTTCGTACATATTGGCAATAAAAATTTCCTAGTTTCTTAATCAATGGCCGGCTAAGTTTCTATCTGTATTACTTAAGGAGCCCCTATTGTAAATTAGATAGTTAAAAAAATTAAAAGTAAAAATTGCGCAAAAGCTAATCAGGGTGCTTTAAACAGCTAGAGCATTTTGCACGTTGATGTCTGAAATAACGATCACGAAAAGGTTCGTTTGCCCGATTTCTGGGATTGTCTTGCAAGGTAGTGCTATTTACGTTGACTATTCAATGATAATTTTACCATAGTTGGTAATAATGTCACAATCTAATTGGCCAATTTGGCGTTGTCGATAAGAGTGCAGATATGCTGCTCGCGTCAACGTGTCACTATCTTGGTCACGTACCGCAAGAATCGTTTTATTTGACGTCGATATTGTGACAACAGTTTGACCACTGTGATGAGAAATATCGTTGTTGGTAAGAGTACAGACCACGGTTAACCTCTTTCGATTTGTTAATTCTTCTCAGTCGCGGCTGCAAAGGAATGTATTTCTCTACGAGCTCAACTATTACCTATGACTCTACGCTTGATTGCGCAAGGTCTTGAGGCTAACACCGCCATCTCTCGACCAATAGCAGTTGAAGGATATCAAACTTCATGCTTCATTAGTGGGTTTAGAGTGGATAACTAGTGTCCCTTTTGTAACTGATATTTGGTTTTCCATCAAATGGAAAAATCATCCTAATACCCTTAGGCTACGTAATAATAACAATTGATGAAGGTGTTTTTAAAGTATCATGTTATTTAGTTCGTCCGCAAAGCACGTAGCTGTATAATCATCAGTAGCAGATACGCCTTTGTTTAACTCTTCATTTCATCTCCTTCATCTGCGACGTTTCCCTTATTTATGAAAATAACATTAGAATAACGAGATATGCTTCATGTACATGATATAAGAGAAAGGCAGTCTTGAAACCAGTGCGGAAAATGCTAATCAAAATAACATTAAAACTAAAGATTAACAAGCAAATTCAGCGAAGTCGGAGGCTTTTAATCACTTTGTATTTGAGATTATCGTGGAAAATGTCAATACCAGAACTGTTCTTGCTCTGCAAACACGGGCACGGCTTACATTTTTTGAGAATCAAGGGGTCAAGTGTACTTCTTTGTAGCCTGGGGAAAATGTTATGTCAAGATGTGATGTCTATCTGTTGACCATTTAGCGGAGAAAAGCTCTCCACCCACTGATTGTTGTTACGTACCATCACACTACTCTGAGTGTCAATCCGAGAGGGCAACAATTAACTGTTCGTAATCTCATTTTAGCAGCATTTTAGAGGCGACTGGATTGTAAACCCTTGGCTAAACGACCGAGAAAATTCATTCGACATCTTGCTCGATGCACACAACGTGGGGTGGCGAAACAAGACATCGATGAGGAAAAACATCGAACAAAGTGTGTATTTCGGCCGAAGTCAATCAGAGACCTCATGCAATAGCGGTTTTGACTGGTTTTCTTTCCCCTTTAACACTAACTTTGTGGCTAAACAGCAACTATTTTCACGCGAGGAGAAAAGATTGATTGCAAATGTCTGATCAAGACCAACCATGGAAAGTCATTTAATTACAATGTAGAGAAAGGTAGCTGAACGTTCAAATACACTCTTCAATATACTGACAGCTATTGACTCTTCGCTTTATTGCGCAAGGTATTAATGCTAACATTGCCATCTCTCGACCAACAGCAGTTGAAGGATATCAAACTGCATGCTTCATCAGTGGGTTTAGAGTGGATAACTAGTGTCCCTTATGTACTGGTATTTGGTTTTTCATCAAACGAAAAACACCATCCTAATACCCTTAGGCTACGTAACAATAACAAATGATGAAGGTGTTTTCAAAGTATCATCTCATTTAGAATTTCAGAAAAGTACGTAGCTGTGTAATGATCAAGAGCAGATACGCCTTTTTAAGTCTTCGTTTCGTCTCCTTCATCTGCGGCCAAACGATCGAGCAAATTCATTCAACATTTTGTTGAGTGTATTGTGTGCATTGATGCACACGATGTGGGGTGGCAAAACGAGATATCGATGAGAACAAACATCGAACAAAGTGCGTATTTTCACCGAAATCAAGCAGAGACTTCGATATAAGATCAGTTTTGACTGGTTTTCTTTTCCCTTTTATACTAGCTTTGAGGCTTAAAAGCAAATATTTTCGAACGAACTGAACATGATTCAATGTATTGCTTTATTACATTACTTTTCCGCATTCATTCGACACCTTTCACCAAAAAGTTGGCGGGATCCTGTGCAACTGTTGCATTGATTGTTGAAAAAAGTTATATTAGAGTTCCAGGTCAGTTAATTCAATCAAACAACTTTGATGCATCTTTGAAAATGTTAAGGCCTATTTACACGGCACGACTTTGTCGCATGCGACAAGCTTACGACAGGCCTACGACACGAATTGTATCGTGTAAATCAAACCTACCACTCGCTTACGACTGTCGTTCACGTCACGAAAAATGTCGTAGGATTTTAAAACATGTTTTAAAACGCTGCGACAATCGTAGCCGAAATTGATAGAAAATGACGTATTTTGTGACAAATTTCTACTGAGTAGGGGAGGAAGGTGAAATTTTCTTGCGTCAAAATGGCGGAGGAAGTCGCCTCCGGAAAGTCGAAGACTGCTTCCAAAGCGAAAAATACATTCTCAGATGAGGAAACAGAGAATATGATATCACTGTGGAGCGAGGAAGAGGTTATTTTCCTTCTCTTGCAAATTATTGAAACAATGACCGCGGCCGAAACGAGTGGAATTGCACGCGATTTTGGCATGTCGTAGGTGAAAATGTCGTGCGCGTGTAAATTGTCCTGAGTCATGTCGTAGGCCTGTCCTAAGCTTGTCGCATGCGACAAAGTCGTACCCTGTAAATAGGCCTTTAGGCTTCTCACCTGCTTTTGCGGCCATTGTTTGGATGAACTTACTGATAACGATATACACCCAGATTCAGTCCAAAAAGTCTGCACGTACAGCAAAAGCACTGAAGTAAACTTTACGCTACACCCTTTGAATTTCGGCCAATGGCAGGCGAGGGGTTGAACTTCCTTAAGAGGTTTTTGTTCTTTAAAACGTCTGATTAGCCAAAAAGTCACGGAACTGAACTTAATTAAACTGCTGCGAGTAATTTGCATAATTTGTTTTTATTCAGGAAACATGCTTGAGTAGACAATTTTTTTTCGGGGTAAATGGGCTAACTACATGCACGACTATAGTGTAAATAAAATAAGAGAGGTGTTAAGTTTTGAGCTCGGTAAAGAAATAGAGAAAGATTATTTTCGTCTTGTCTCGAGCGTGGAATAAAGAAAACATTCTGAGTCCCCATGAGGAATCGAACCTCAGGCCTTCGGATTCCATGCTCCGATGCTCTTCCACTGAGCCACAGAGAATCTACGTTGAGCGAGGTCTGTGTTCATTATCCAGTTTTTATGGTTCTTTGCTGGGAATGGATCTTACAAATAAAAAAAGGCACAAACGGGGAAGACCCCAAACACTTCTTATTGTGACAGGGCGTGAAATTAACTTTTTTTTCTGATAGCCACTTGGCTCCTAAATTCTTCAAAGTGGTAGCCAATTCAAAAAAAGTTGGTCGCCATTTCCAAAGACAAACAAAATCTTCTTTACGCTGTCAGCGTTCTAGATAGACCCTCCAAAATTAAGTTAGGGAAAAGATCTTTAACGTGCTACAAAGTAGACACTAGGATGTATGATATACAACTTTCAGGCTCATCTAAATCCAAGATGGCGTCTAGTTATCGATCGAGATGCATGTGCAACGTTTTGGAAACAAACTTAACGAGGAAGTTTGCCACGGATTTATCTCTGCAAATTTATTTAATTCACTATATCTCTTGGTAAGGTTATGATGAAACGTTGTAGTCGCCAATTTGGCGACTAACTTTCAGGATTTGGTCGTCAAAGTGAAAAATTTAGTCGCATTGGCGCCTGTATTAGGCGCAATTTCACGCCCTGCTGTGAGCAGAAATTTATGACGTCAAACACTTGATATGCAGGTGAAATGTAAACAATTAAACAATGAAACAATCTCTTATAAAGGCTTTCTTTTTTTCCCCCGCGTACATGAAATGTACTTTATTAGTCCGTCTGTCTTCAGGGTGTTACACGCCAATATAAACGTACGTATAATCACGTCTCCGTTGATTTAGAACTGATTTTCCATGGAATCTTTTTGTAGAGTGACTGTACTCAGTGAACGACTATTAATAGCCATTTAACGAAGTCGACATCGAGCAGGTGTGTGACGTCTATTTGAAGTGAAGCGTCATTTAAAATAACGCATATGTATCCATTTCGTTCCACACGAAGTAGGTCATATCACGACTCTTGCATCCTTGCACGCTATGTCCTAATTTTTACAGCAAAACATACAGCTTGCTCACTTATTATCTCCAAGTCCGAAGAAGATGAAGTAATCACGGTCTTGTTACGATAGGCCTGAATCAAACGTCAACTTTTCATGAGCCGGACCTAATTAAACTGCACATGAAAAATACTATCACTGAATTATTCACGAATGAATACTTCAAAGTAGAATGCTAACGGCTCAGTCATTCTTAACCGGGAATTTACACTCAGAAACAGCCTAGGAGCGGCTTTGATGACGGCCCGGAAATTTCCATGTGTTGTACCAATTGCAAAAAATATTCTAACAAATTTGGAAGCAGTTTTCCGGGAATTTTATCCATTGCGCACATTGCGCTTCCCAAGAAAAGATAACTTTTCGCATTGTGATCTCGAAAAAAATCCTTACCTGATTCGTTAAGATTGGCCTCAGCCATTACCGTCTTCTGCTATACTTTTCTTGCGATGATACGTATTCAAACCAAGCTTGAAGTCAACACGCGCAGTGTGAGAAGCGAAGGGATCTACTTTACACACTCACAGCAAAGCTCCCAGATTTTGCCATCGTCGTTGGCTGTTTTCGAAACAATAAACTCGCCGTTCAACCGTAAGTTGTTTCATTAGGAATGAGAAAATGATGGAGTGGTATAGGAGCTGGCGGTACCGGATCAGTTTTGCAAAACTGATCTGATACAACGCCAACTCTATACCACTTTACCTGCTAATGGAAAATATTTTATGACTTCATAATTTTTATACAAACTATATGTTTTAAAAATGGAAATGAGTTTGAATATTATCTTAGCGTGACATTCTCGGAAAACAGGAAGGAATTATCAGTGCGTGACATTCTCAGGAAAACAGGAAATCGATGAAGTAATACAACGAGGCCTTTTTCGAGGAAATGAGTCATAGCATTTTTGGCTGGACCACCCGTGTGGACAGCTATCGAAACTGTGAATTTCACTTTCGAAAAAACCCACGGAAAAGGCTTAGGACACATGTTTCAAAAATAGTTTTAATTAGTTGCTCTCCAATTCTCTCTTTTTGCATCACCACAAGCCAAAAATGATTTTTGGCTAGACCACTCGTGTGGACAGCGATCGAAAATGTGAGTTTCACAGATTTTGTCCAGCGCGCACCCACTGCAATAATATAGCTCAAGGAATTCTATCATGCTAAAAGTTATAAGATTTATTATAGTTTAGTTCATGGACAAAATATAGAAACTTAACCTGAAATATTTTCATACCAGCGTAATCAGAGGAGACCCTTTTCTTCGACCTTCATTTGCATATCATACACCTTTGATTGTTAGGTGAGAGTTTGCCGCGCGCTACTTCTAATCCTATTTTTCAAATCAAAACAGGCCTATTTCAACACTCATTTTCAGACTTTGGATCAGAAATGTAGTGAAGAAACGGCTTCACTCTCCGGTTATCGATTCCAGGGTCTTCCAAATTTTACCATTCAGGACCCATCTTAAGGAGAGCTCGAAGGGAAGGGACATTCCGTAAGAATTTGCTGTTGCATAGACTTGATCTAGAGGTTTTTCATATCTATATCGGCAAAAAAATCTTAGCATGCACATAAAAGCGAGTTGAAGCACAAATAATTTTTGTCCTTGTCCTCAGTTTAAAGCGAACTATTTCTTATAAGAGGTCTCGTCTCTTGATATTTGTATCAACTATCCGACGTCTGATTTCCTGTTTACATGAACATCACCATTTGCCCGAGTCAAGAGTTGGGCGACAAATCCTTTCTCAGCCACATGAACTCTTTCTCAGTATGATTTTGAATGACTTGAGAGACATATACCAGTTTCGAATATTTTTTCCACCACCTGATAACCACACTTTACAATTACGGCTAAAAGATCGTGCATGAGCAAACCACCCATTCCACAAAAAGTGGGCCCAATAGCCATTTTCAATGTCTTTGTTTTGCGGAGGCCACAAGAAAAGTTATAGCCGTACATTTTTAGTGCCCAGGTAGAGTAGACATGGTAAGTTCAAAGCCCCAAATGCAAAGTCGTATGTATCTTATACCATTTTTTTGCATTTGGAGCTCAAAACCCCCTAAAAGTACTTTTTTTCAGTGTCCACGATGGAACGGTAGAACAAACATCTTGATTATAAACCTCTGAATGATCCCCGGGTAAACATTCGATATGTGTAAACCGTCCAATAGTAAATGAACTTAAAATAAATTTTGATGTTTCATAGTGCACTGCATTAGTCCGATTTTAGTAGTCACAGAATTGATGTCCACAAATTCTTTGTAACTTCCGTTACCGAAATAAGAAAAGTAATTTAACTGCGTTAGAAATCCCTGTATAATCTCTTCTTACCGTCAATTACTTATTGTTTCATCGCAGTTTCAATATTTTAAGTCATCACCTCCTTTTCTACAAGTGGCAATGATAGACTTCCCTTTGAATGAGGCCGAAGAGCACCGTATGGTTAAGAATGTAACTTCCGTTACCAGTGTTTAGCGAAAACAAAAGTTCCTTTGCTTCAAAATGTTCTGTGCAAGTACGAAGGTACCTACAATCAGTAAGCTCACAGACTTATATTAACTGGCTTGTGTCTTGGAAAGAAGTGGAGGCACAAAAGATCTCAAACTGTAACTTCCGTTACTGTAACTTCCGTTACCATTTATTTTGGAATATCTTAAATACGCGTCCTTTGGTTGAGTTGCACTTTGGAACATCATCTGGCTGTCTAAAGTCGCGGCAAAATAAACATGACTGACATTATTGACATTCCAGTGTTACGCAACAACCCCTCCGTTGCCGTATTGCGACACATTCGCCAAGACCGAAGCGTTTGTTACAAATTTCTCAATTTTTCATTGTCAGTCGTTCATCGAAATTGACAAAATCCAAAGGTGAGTAGTATCAATATGATGTACATACAAAATTTATTTGCATTGACGTTTTCTTTTGGCTAAAAGCCTCGTTTTCTGTCAGACAGTAAAAATGTAACGGAAGTTACAAAAACTGGAAGTGGCTTGTTAGGGCCTTAAAACGGGTTTTGGAGTCACAAGAATGAAAATTTTGAACATCAGAGTAGAATATATCGTAAAAATAATCATATCTAAATGTTTAAGCTGTAGGCGTTTAGAGATATTTATGAATAAACCAATTAAACGGCGTATTTAAATAATAAAACTGAATCGTTGCGTGACATAATTGGACCTACTCTTCACAATCAGCTTCAGGTGGCCAACTAGCCCAGATGAAATATGGGTGGACTTTGACAAGATTCTGGGAGTCATTGAAGAGCCCTCGTCTCGTGGAAGGTCAAATCGCCACTTCCATTTTAATGATCAGACAATCCAAATGATCACAGATCTATTTGATGGCTGGCTATCAACCAATCAGTAATTTGTAACTACCGTTACTGGTAGTCAATCAATTAAACAGATAGCTTTTTAAGTATTAGTCATGTTTTTCTTTTAAAACTATTTTGATTCATGTATTCATATCTTCAATGAAAGGTTTTTTTTAACAAGAAAGGGTTTTACGTACTGTGTTGACATAAAATATTTGTTTGATATGCAAATGTCGTAATTTAGAAGATTTAATGATGTAATTTTTTTTAGAAGATTGTTTAATTGTAACGTTTATTGAAAGGAAGGCGATTAGTTTTATGTTTTCCTTCGTGAAAATTCGTGCCATATGGCAGCTAAGGTATTAAACAAGTTTCAGGTCATAGCTTACTCATTTGTAACTTCCGTTACTTTTTTTGTAACTTCCGTTACCAAGCTTATGATTAAAATTTCAAGAAAAGGTCTATACGTACGTCCTAACAGACTTGAAGAATATAATGGCATGGTCTTAGCTTCTGTAAAAGAACGTAGTTGTTCTTTCTTCTTCCTCTGAAGAAGAATATAGTATAATTATAAAAAAACTTATTTTAAAAAGAAACAATTTCAGACGGTTTAAATTATTTTTAGATCTCTATATTTTCTTCTTTGTAGGAGCAGAGCACTTTAATAGTATGATTTTTATTTACATGTTGCCCTGTATTAAGTATATACTACGTTGATTTTGAATAACTTAAAAACGAGAACTTAAAAAAGTGGAAAATTATTTTAAAGATCGGTGATTTTTTTGCCTAAAGTGATTTTCAAGTAAGTACAATAAAATGTTTCATAACTACGGAAATATATGACCTTTGGTGCTAATTTTTGAGGTATTTACTCTTCGATATTTGCGCTTTAAATTGAATGATTCGCCACGTACTTTCTGTGAAACTGATTTTTTTCGATTTTCCAAGTGACATTGGGCCCACTTTTTGTGGAATGGGTGAAACATTTTTTAGTTGAGTGTTTTTAGCAAGAGGAAATGATGCTGTTATTATCTTACTTTGAATATCACAATAAGGTCAACATCAAACAGGAAAAAATAATTTCACACCTGGCAATGAATTCTATTACACATACTCTTAAGCGAAGGCCCGTGTTGGCATTATAACTAAAGTTGTTTATTTGCTGAACTAAATTGCTGTTAAAATTGATTAACAGAAAGTAATTCATTTCAGCCCCAATAAACATATGATGTGGAGAGGTTATGTTCAGTTGAACACGGATGCGTGACAATCGATATTGTATTCCGCGTCTTAACTTTTAAAAATAAATAACTGTCATTTTGCTTGACTAATAACTCCACTTCAGAATTCAAGTAAACTTAAGATTTTTGCGTCTTATTCGTAATTCATCTTTTATAAATGAATAAGACAATTCATTGGAACCAATTTAAAATGGGATTGTAAAAAAAAAATAAAAAAAAAAAAAAAAAAAACCACACGGCCTGTGGAACCAAACTTTGGGCATGTTAGAGCCAAGAAGACTTCAAAAATGAAGTAAATTTGCATTTTCAAAAAGTGTTTCATTTTCAACTATCGTGTCGTAAACCAATTCAGATTTAGATACTCACGAGATCAAAGCATGTTGCAAGATAGGTAGAATTCCTTATGTCAGCAACATATGAGGTCAAATAAACCCAAGCAGAACGCTTCCAGGCGAATCTCCTTTTTGTTGACCACTTTCCTTTAGTAAAGCACACATCTTGTTCAAGTTATTCCGAAATTGAATTTAATTGACAATTCTATTCAATTCTGGTCTCTTATTAATTGAGAACACCCCCGATTTTCTTTTTAAATTTCCAACCTAGATATCTCTTGCTCCGATTTTGAAAAAGCGCTAATCGAAGTAGGTCGTGTCATGACACATACATTCTTGCGCGCGGTGTCTTAATTTTTACTTGAAAACATAAAGCTTGCACACTTGTTGTTTCCAAGTCCGGGACCTTGATCGCTCTTCTCTCTATGATTTGAGAATCATTCTTCCGCCACAATAGAGAATGATCTGTTGAACGTTATGGAAGGCCATAATAACAGATGCTATCACGTAACTCTTTCAGCGACGTTCACTGCAACTGTTTCTATCAACATGCATGCACTTTTCTTTTTTGCACGAACAAAAATTACTTCGGTCTGCCGATGTTTCTGCTACAACTTTATCGCGCATGATGAAAGAGTCATGGTCTTGTGACGATAGGCCTGAATCAAACGTCGAACTTTTCATGAGCCGGAACTTATTAAACTGCACATGAAAAGTTCCATCACTGAATTAATCACGAATGGATACTTCAAAACTGGAATGCTAACGGCTCAGTCATTCTTCCCACCTAGCTTAATCAGGAATTTCCACTCTTAAACAGCTTAGGAGCGGCTTTTAAGGCGACGCGGAAATTTCAAAGTCCATGTGCTGTACCAACTGCAAAAACTATTTTAACAAATTTAGAAGTAGTTTTCCGGGAATTTTATCCATTGCGCGCATTGCGCTTCTAAAGAAAAAATAACTTGCCGTATTGTGATCGCAAAAAGAATATCCTTACCTGATTCGTTGTGGTTAGCCTCAGCCATTATCGTCTTCTACTATACTTTTCTTGCGACGATGCGAACTCAAACCAAGCTTGAAGTCAACACGCGCAGTGTGAGAAGCGAAGGGATCTACTTTACACACCCACAGCAAAACTTCAAGATTTTGCCATCGTCATTGGCTGTTTTCGAAACAATAAACTTGCCTCTTAACCTTAAGTTGTTTACTTAGGAATTAAATGTAATCAGCAGAAATGATTGCCGATAAAATGATGGGATTACATGTAAAGGCCGACAGGGAACACGAGACGTCAATTTTCCATAACCACTTAAATTCTCGGACAAAATTTCAACCATTTCACTCCCAGACGTGACCAAGGAATTATCAATAAATGGTCCAGAATGCAAGTGAATTTTTCAACATTTCAAATCAATAACATTTTCAATCATAATGGCTTGATAGAAATCATTTAATGAGTTTCTCCGCTCAACGAGGGGATACGATCTCTAACAAACCGATTAAAGTCATTGTTATAACTTTGAAAATTACACATCCTATACTTCATGTCTCTACTGAGACAATTTAACCCTTTGCAACCTAACATCACCATGTATATTCTCCATACTGTTCTCAATACATTTCCTAAGGTGCTGACAAGGAGAATTTGTTTAACAATCAAGAACTTTTTTGGTTGATGATCATTTCTTTAACTCTCATGACCTTTATAGTTGATTCAAGGTGATAACGTATGGAGAAACTAGAAGCCAGTCACTATTACTGGTCAAAAGGTTGATGACAGTCTTTTATCATTCCTCTTGCGAAACTTTTGCTTTTCTTTTCAAAAGACAAAACCTAGTATTTTAAGTAAATAACTTCAGTAATTCATTGCATTATACTCAAGCAACGCCGAGCGATTCCTACGTTCTACTGGTCCTTATAACGGTAATGGATTTGTTGTCACTTTTTGCTGAAGTCTATGAACGACAATCCAATCCACTTTCGAAGAGAAAAAAAAGCCCATCGGCAGTTTTGAGTCCATCACTTCTGCTTTACAGACATACAATACTCTAAAAAACCCACTTGGCCATCTTCATGCTTTCGGCTTAGCTTGGCTGTTAAGCACTTATCCTGAGTTAACTACATACAGATGCCACATGTTGAAAGCATTATTAACTCTGCACTAGAAATGATTCCACTTTTGATGAAGAAGTGGCCAGAGGAACCCAAACAAATATCCCCTGTCAGCTCTCTGTAGCTGCTTCTCCAGTGCTTGACACTTCTACATTGCAGCCATCAGATGAACATTTACTTTGCAGCAGTAACCATTTTTTATAATTTGATGCAAATCTCCTCTGTATCTCACCCTCCACACTTTGGCATCTAATAACTACATCATTACAAAACCTCAACTCAGAGGGGGTGGATAGAGGCACCAACATGTCATCATTTGTCAACTCTTTAGAAACAGAAGTCCATGAATTAAAGCCAGATTTCAACTCTCTTAACAAGTTGAACGAGCTACTTGCTAAATCAAATAGTGAAGGAATGGTTGATGGAGAAGATCTTCTTGACATTCTGTTACAATTTTCTAAGGAATTGTTATCACCAATCTTTGAAGAACCTGATATCTCTTGCAGTGTACCCAGAGAGGTACCAGGGGTACAGAATTTATTCCAAAAATGATAAACAAATCTCCTGAAAAATGAACACAGCCTCATTACAATCATGCCATTTGATATTTCACAGATATTAGCAGGGTTATCCCTGAGAATGGAAAACTAATTATATTTTATTTGCTCTATAGTCATAGCAGATTAGGTTAGAGGATAGCATTGCCAGACAGGACTAAAAAACAACAACCACAACAAACCCGACACCCTCCAAAAACATTAATAATTAAGTTATGAAAAGCATTACAATCCAGATGTTTAGAGAGGAGCTAAGGTGAACAGGCAGTATTTTTAGAATAAAAACGGAAGATAGATGTATTTTTAATTAATTCATTAGTCAGAGTGCACCTTATAGCACTGAAGTCATAGTTTTTTACTCTTGCTATAGAAAATAATTAACAATTACACTTGCCATCTAAACATCCCTCTAAGTCTGAGTCTCACAAGAGCTGAGGTCAGTTAGTTTCTCAGGGAAATTATGGGAGTAAAGTACTATTTAGGTTTGTTATTTGTACCTGTGATACCAAATGACCTCATGCCCTGGGAAGGTTAAAATGAGATCACTGGTAAATTCCAATTCTGACAGCAGCAAATGCAAAACTTCACTGTGTGAACTGCAGAAAATAAATGACATCTGTTAACAACACACCACAAAATCCTTTCAATTACTTATGACAAATAGATTGAAAAAAGTGTGGACTGTTGACTACCAAGAACTGAACATTTCACTTAGGGAAAACCAAAAAAAAGGATGCTATTGGGACATAGTAACAAAACCATTGCAAATGAGTAAAATATTTAAAACTTTTTTATTATCACTTTTGTGGTAATTGTTCAAACAAAGGAGTTTCATTAGATATTACAACAGCTTACTTACCATACATTCTTGAGGTATTTCAGTAACACTTGTCTGTGATGGAAGCCGCAGTTGTCTGATATATGCCTTTCTGTCCACTTTCTCATGACTTGAAGTTCACAAAATAATCTCTACAAAGACAAAGTTGCACATTTAGGACAAAAAAATTTCATTTCTTTTTAATCCAAATATGATGCCCAAATATATGGTTGCTGTTTTGTTTGCTAAATCCCCTAACATCCCTGATCTCTTGTGACTATTTTAGCCAAGAATTCAACATGACAGAGCACAAAAAAGCACAATTCTTATTAAGATATAATATAGTCATTTCTTGGACTAGAAACCTACTTTTTTCCTGTCTTTCATGAATCTTTCCACCAGCCATGATCTGTGACTCCATGCAGTGTAGTTATCGGCATAGCTCTCAGCAGCTCGTAGAGATATGGCAAGTTCACCTCTCAAACAACGATGAACAAATTCATCCTGGCCTTTAAGTTTCTCAAGCTGTTCTATTGTCCATCTCCTTTGGGGATCAAGGAACAAAACATCCACAGTCACAGACCCCATTCTCTTCACAAATGTAAGTTGATCATATCAAGATTATCTTTCTCTTTGCTTACAAATCCAACAAATTGCCATCAGACTACTTAATCCATGACACCCTTACATCAGTATGCACATTCTCTATACTGTTCTCTAGACATTTCCTAAGGTGCTGACAAGGAGAATTTGATAAACAATCAAACTTAATGATCATTTCCTTCATTCTCATGACCTTAATGTTTAATTCAGGGGTTATATTTATAGGAAAATTAAATGCTAGCTACTCGTAAGGGGACTCACATGGCTAATGTGGAGAGTTTTAACAATTTGCTTGGCAATATATGTGACTTTGCCCTAGAAGAGTGATTAATAATAAATTATTAATATTGCTTATTTGGTACCTGTGAGTAAATGTCTCAGCACTCCTGGGGTGTTTTGAAAGAACAAGAGCTGAACACTTGATGTCATCTTCCAGACTTAAAACTCCTGCAGATATCAGTTCCTTTCTGGTTAAAGTAGAGAGAATTTGGTGTTAAATCAGTAAATCCCATTATCCCAAATCATGCATTCTTCTAAGTACTCTTCTGTTTAAAAATGTTTTTTTATGCTGTGACTTCAGAGAAATTCTCTAACTAATGGTCTCCCTTAACCCTTTAACTCCCATGAGTGACCAAGACAGAATTTCTCCTTACAATATCAATACAGTGTCAAGCAGACAAGCAATGGGAATAAAGAACAATATCAATTTGGGGATTATTAGTTGATCAAGTACCAAATTCTCTGAACTAACATCACAAGAATTATATCACAGATAGTAAGGAGAATTACAAATTAGATCTTGGGAGTTAAAAGGTTAAGAGTAGAACAGTAAACATTCAAGAGGACCTGGTCTAAGCCCTTGTCCAGGGTAATAGTGTTGTATTCTTGGGAAAGACATGTAGCACTTCCCCATCTACCCAAGTAGGCATCAATGAACTGTAAGACAAACCTGATTGATTACTGGAGGAGGTAAATTGTAATGGATTAGCAATCTATCCAAGTCAAGGCAGGGTTAAGTCTTACTGCATGCCCACAAGCCCATGCTGGTGCTTATCTCTATTTTTTTGGACTGGTACATTTCCACTCTTCCTGTATACAAGGATACTAGCCCATCTAAGGTTACCCTTCTCCCTCCACCCCAGGGTTTCCTAGTTCTTATTCTTACTTTGGGCTTTGTGCTACAGGAAATGGGTTCAGATGTAGCAGTGTATAGAAATCAGGCTTAAGAAACACAAGCACTTGAAACAGGTTGCATTCCATACCACTGATGCACCCTTATCCCATATCATCCCTCATTACCTTATATTCCACACTGTGTAACATTCAGCATTCACTAACAAAACAGCTCTACTAAGTTGAACAGTCTCTGTCACTGGAAATTCAAATGAAAAAACATAGCTATGAATTAATCTGACTTGAGTGCTAAACCATAAAAAAATTTGAAATGCTTTTGAGAAAAAAAAAATAACAGATACCTGAAAGACTACAATCCTTCTCCCTTTCTCTACATCTCTTCAAGAGCATTTTATAGGCAAACAAGAAAAGAGGCCTCAAGCAACACGATTTAATACCAAGTTTATGGTTTACTAGAATAATGAAATCTTCTGTTTCCTTATTTTGCTTCCCACAACAGTCAAAACAAGGTATCACATCGACTTCATCACTGAAAAACATAACAAGTACTTGTTTGAAAACCAAAATAAACTATTGTTAAAACATGACAATGCTCATATAACAAATATGTTTCAAATTCAAAATTGAGTTAATATTGTTTGCCATAAAATTCCCTACAATTAAAACGGAGGAAGAAATTGGAAAATTGTCTAACTTTTAGGGACCTAATTTCAAAACATAGCTACTTATTTCTAAAATCTGCTGAGTAATAAGCCTACTCAGCAAAATTTGTGCAAATATTTTATCAGATTAATCTCACCAGCTTTCCTTAAAAACCAAAAGAAGGTAAAAAAAAGGACTTTTCGTGTTCTTTAATCAAAAACACGACCCTCGTTCAATCGAATGAAATTTTAATTCCGTAACATGGAAGCACAAGAAAATTAGTCATGAAACGAAGAACTAAGGTTCTAAATCAAGATGTTGAGGTGCAAAGGATGATAAAAATAAAAAATTAACTAACTTACATTTCGGGGTCTGAAATAAACGCCTGATTTAGAAAGCAGAAGTACTTTTCACCAAGTTCAGTGCAACAGGTAGGCGCCATCTTTGTTTTCTTCAGACTAGTAACCACCCTTAGCTATGTAACCTGGCTTGTCAATGAAATCCAACATGGCGGACGGCTCACGCTTTCCGCCATCAAACTTTCCACCTCAAAATATTCGCATTCCAGCGCCATTCACCAATGAAATTTCTTCTTCATGCACAAATCGTCTGGGTTTACCTCAAAATCAATTTTTCCCACAATCGCATCCGTCTACAAGCAATTCAGTGCATGGACATGTTTCACAGAAACTACCAGCGAATCCGAGTCACAACATGGCTTACCACAATGTGCAGAGATTTCCAAAGCCTCCGTTCCAGCAAAATCACGGCACTCTGCGACAAGGAAAGCAACCAATGGCTGTGAATATGCCGGAGATGCAGCGACATCCCTTTGCGGCCGGCCAGTTTACCACCGACAAACAACGGCATGTACAAAATTCAAGCCCTAACTCTCATTATGAACCTTTCTCTGGCCATGGGCAAATACAGCTTCATCCAAGAAGTTCTCAGACTAATATGAACAATAATATAGCGCATAATTCCTCATCTTTCTCTCCTGGAGCTCGGCAAATTTCAAACCTCAATCCATTACCAGCTGCAAGCAAAGTTTCAATGCAACATGAAAATTCTTCTTTCAATTCCTTTACTGAATCATTGCCAGGACCATTTCCACAGTCCATTTCTGGGTCACATGTGCTAGCACCTATCCAGTTTCCTCCATCAGTACCAAACAGCAACCCAGCAATGCACCTAACAGCCCCTCCATCATTACCAAACAGAGTCCCTTCATTGCACTTGGCAGCACCTGTGCTTCCAGCCCATCAACCTTTTGACAGGGTCCAGGAATTCTCAAGCCAGGACAGAATAAATACATTTTTAAAAGAAAGAGGAATTAGTAAACAGGACAAACAACAGACAATAAAGAGTAACTTGAAGGTAAAGTACATATCTTCATCATTGCTGTGCCTGAAGGGTATTTATATTGTGGCTTAACCTGCATTTTTACCTTTGCTTTTGTGTGCAATGAAAAAAGACAAAAGTCTACAATTAATAGTGTATAACTGAGTTGAAAATGTAAATTAGCCACCGTAAAGGGTAAAAAAGCTGATGTTTCAATCATTAGCCCTTCGTCAGAGTGAACAACTCCTCCAATTGCTCTGATGAAGGGCTAACACTTGAAATGTCAATTTTTTTACCCTTTATGGTGGCAAATTTATGCTTTTAACTCAGTTGTTAAGACTAAATTACCTGCTATACTCTCCCACCGATGCAGCACCACAGTTTCTTTAGAAACTTACCCCCTTTATTCAATTAATATGTTTGACCTACATGGCACAAGATAATTATATCTCCTTCCTTCTCTCACATCTCCTTTCCCTCCCCCCCCCCTCCCACCCCTTTTGTCTATCTATGGTCTTACAAATAGGCATTTCAAAGTATTTACGATTTTTAATTGATCCAAGTTAGACCATTTTGTGTTTTTTTCCAGAACATTCCAGTGACAATTCAGTTAGAGTAGCTTTTAGCTCTAATACAAATGCTGATTATTCAACAGTTACATACAGCAAAAGATCTGTTGGTAGAATGGTTGCAGCTGATATCTGAGTTGTCTCTTCAAAGGGACAAATTAGCTGAACTTGCCTTAAGTCAAAATGAACTTGAATGGGATCAGGAACTAGAGAAGGCTCAAGTCCTAAAGGTCAGTAAATGTTTATACCAGATCTATACTCCTTTTCAAATGTTCAAACAAAACCAGTCCTACCCATATTGGAGACTTTTTCACACTTTACACTTTTTAAACACCTCTGTTTTTTTTTCTTTTAGGCAAGGATTGAGCAAATCCAAGCTTACTTTTCGTCTCCCAAAGAAATGAAAAAGCTGGAGGAACAAGTTCTGAAAAGGAAAAGGAAAAGGGTGAGTTCTGGGAATTTTTTTGCATGATATCACATGAGCAGGTTTTATAGCAAATGTAGTGCTAACAACAAAATGATTGAACTGTTTACAACAGATTACTGGTCAGGATTGACTAGCAGTTGGTGTTTGGCTTTCATTTGTAATTATAGTTGTACTATTATTTCATACTTGATAATTGATTTTTTTCAGGTATTAGTGAAATAGTGATTGATTAACCCTTTCACCCTCAGATCTCTTTAGTAATTCTCCTTACTGTCTCTCATACTATTCTTATGATGTTCATGCTGAGAATTTGGTATTGGATGAACTTATAATCCCCTAATTTAAATTTTTCTTTTTTGACATGATCACTTTTCTGCTCAGTATTATAAGGAGAAAGTCTGTCATGGTCAATCATGGGAGTTAAAGGGTCAGACAGTCTTTAATTTTTTGCTAAAATGATATGGTTGAAAGAATTTAACTTCATGTTTCCTAAGGAATGGCAGAGAAGAAGAAGAGAAGAAGATTATTTGCAGAAGCAGGAATCAGAAGAGAGAAAAAAGAAGCTCCATAAGAAAATTGATGAGTGGAGGTCGCAGATTATAGCAAAGGATGAAGCAAAGAGAAGGGTAATTTTAGTTTCAGTCAGGTCTTAAGTCTCACTTACACTACTCTGGTCAGGGCTTTAATAATACAAGCAATCTACTTCCCCTGTAACACCTCTTACTGCTGTCTGTTTAGCCTATGAGCACATACCCAGATTGCTGGAAGTTGCTTTTCCTTGTTTTGAGATTTTATTTCTTTTCTTGGGAGAGCATGCTTCAGAGGCCAAGAACCTCCCATCCCCCCTCTATGGCACAGTGATCTATGACACCATTGGTAGCCTCTCATGGGAAAAGTTATTGAAACCTCTGTCTGGGTAAAATTTGAAATCAAATTTTATTCCTATGGCTTCATTTATCTTCCACTCCAATCAGGGTGAGTTGTTTGGTGGAAAGTGAGTTTTGTGAAAACGTACAGCACAGAGGTTAAATTTTATAGGACCACTTTTGAGGTTTTCATGTAGAACTTTAGTTTTTTTTAGTGGGGTCAGTTGTTTACAATTTCCTAATTTTTTTTGTTGTTGTATGTAAACAGGCTGAATCAATGAAGCATGAAGCTGGAGGAGTATTAGGAGAGGTGAAACAGAAACAAACTGAAGCAACCAAAGCTGTTGATCTTTTGAGAGCTTTGAGAAAACTTAGAGAAGCTAGAAAACAAGAGGCTGAAGTCAAAGGTACCCAAGCTTTAAAAACATTCACTTATTTTTTCATCGAAAAAAATGAAACTGTAGTAACACCTTTTCTTGTAAACAAGGTACAAAAATTTTGTGATTAGATGAATTTAACAACTTCTACCTGATAAATTTGAGTATTTTATTTATTTATTTATTACAATCTATGGTCAAAAAGGCCAAAGGATTATCTGCAAAGGAGTTTGAAACCCCATATAAAAACAGATCACCTATGAACTAATATAAATACACTAAAGATAATAAATTCAAGAAATGCATTTATGGATATTTTAGAGAGAAGTTACATGTTTATCACTTTTGGGAGTTAAAGTGTTAATTTGTTTATTTTCTCGTTATTGTAGGGGTTTACCTCAAACCCACAGAGGAACAGAACAGAAGGTTTGACGAGAGAGTGAAGTGGCTTGAGGACGTCATGGTGAGAAGAAAAGAACTGTACGAAGCTGAAGAAAAGACTTTACAGGTCATGTTGGCTGAAGAGGAGGAGGAGAAGGAGAAGGAGCGACGAGAAATGCAAAGAAAAAAGCAAGGTACAGTCATCTGTATTCCTTCGCTTAAAGAAGACTGCAACACACTTTAGAACGCTTAGACTTGCGAATACGCATGCGTTTTCATTGTCTGTATACCAAATCAGATCAAGCGTTGAAAAAGTATCTCAACGATCCGCTGTAGCGCGGGGAAACGCGAGTGATGCACTTGCTGGTTCCATCCGACTGGTTAACGTTAGTTTTCTTGAACAATCAAAAAGCACAGCGAACTGAAATGCTAATGCACGTAGCACACGTTGATGTACGTACTTTGAAAGAACTTCAAATTTGAGACACTAAAATTTTGGAGAAACTGCTAGAGCTCTGCCAGCTGTAAGTGATCATGCTATTGCAGCTGAATTACATATTGAAAAAATTGTAACAGTAAGCTTCTTTCATTTTCTTCTCAGAATCTTTAGGTTTGTCAGATCCAATGGACTGGTTCCACAGCTACTACAGTCAAGCTGATAGTGATCTTCAATCCTTACTACAAATAAGGTATGCTGTTTGACGAAGGGCTAACACTCGAAACATCAGCTTTGGGAACTCTTTACGGTGACCAATTTACATTATCAACTCAGCTGATGAAAAAAAAATTATCTCGTTACTCTCCCCCACCGACGCAGCACCAAAGTTTCTTTAAAAACTTATCCCCTTTATTATCCGGTAATCATTACGCCTTCGATCACTTTTCGAGAGGCACGGAGGCTTTCGTTAAGATCTAAGAAAGCGTCAAGGGTTAGGAATCATCATCTTCTGCTAAGGTTATCAAAACGTTGGTCATTACTATCAGCACTCGCAGTAGTCGTTCTTAGGACTACTCTCTCCTGAGAGATGATTCAACACGAATAAATATTACTCTTGGGTGCATTTGAACAATTCACTGAAATACTTGAAATATTCACATGCACGCGTTCGTAGAAGCGTAAATTTGAACTTGGTCCTGTTGTAATCTCAAAATACTCTGCTTTCCCAGGAAAATTGAAGTTGAACTTATCATCGGCTTTGTTCATTTCTCTTCCCTAGGCGGCAGTGGGATGCGTTCCTGGTTCCCGAGATGTTCCCAGGGGCGTCTCGTATCCCCGACGGGTGTGTAACCCCCACGGAACCTTCGTCTGAGTTGTGGGCTACAGCACTTATCGACAAGGGCTAGTTCATGTCTAGCCCTTCAAATTTAGCAATAAATTATAGAAATTCTATCTCTGTTAGGGCATTGTTACTTTATTTTTGCGTTTGCGTATAACTTATCAATAAATTTATTTTTTCATTTCTGTCGTTTTATGCTTAAAACTAAAGAAAAGCTTACTTTAAAATTATCCTATCTGAGATCTTGTAACATATTCGTTTCCCTCCTTACAACAGAAAATCAGCCTGGATTATCAGATGGCAAGTAAGTTCCACGGCTTTGTTTTGTTCAGAAAAAAATAGTTTATATTGTCTCGAGTCGAGGTTAAAGGCATTCTTTAGAATTTTTGTTTGTCCTCGAACAAACAGATTGCTTTAATGAAGTAGTAACTAAAAGAGTTAGCACACTCTAATGATATGATGATTATTCTGGTAACATTACTATTTTGAAAACGATATGCATTGAAATTCTAACTATCTCGGGTACAACTTTTAAGAGGATTAATAAGAAAACATAGATTGTGTTTGGCACATTCGAAAACAATCAGTGGACATTTAATGCAAAATTTTCTGAATACGATATGCATTAAAATTCCAACCATCTCGGGTACAACTTTTAAGAGGATTAATAAGAAAACATAGATTGTGTTTGGCACATTCGAAACCAATCAGTGGACATTTTATGCAAAATTTTCTGAATATTTTTGGAAAACTGAAAGGTATTCTTTTGAACGACTCATGCGGAATGAATGGTTAATTTTTTCGATGTTTTACTCATATTTACGTTAAAACCGTTGTTTCAATTTTGTGGTCGTATACCCTCGATTTGTCGAAGTCTCGCAAGGAATCTTTTCGATTAAGGAAAAAAGAATGAACTTGGTACGTAATCTCAAAATTGTAATGTATCATTTGTATCAATTGGAATGTATCATTTGGTAATAAATTGCGAACTAAACTAGACGAATTAAAGAGGTCATGTTTGTTTTTAAGAGTGAGCAGACCTTTGAATGGCACTTACCCAGAAAATGAAGGTAATTTCTGAGTTGATAGAATTAGTATCATATTGCAAATAGATTATTTATCTGGCAACCGGTCAGGTGTAATCAGCCCTCACTGCGGCTCGCCAATGTCTTGCATGTTTAGAGTTTGCGCGTTTTGTATACATTGTCCCCAGCAGAAACCAGTCGGAGCAGTCACTCCTTATTCTACTGCTTGGACATAGTATAAGGTCAAATGTATCGCAGCTTTCTAAGTCAACGGTGCTTCTCAAATCCTTCTTGAAAACACCCACAATTCTGAGAGAATCATTTTCTTCCACAGTGACTTGCTTCACTTCGATATCCGATCCGTTTATGGAGTTTATAGTAACTGAGTTCGCTCGTCTTAGAGACAGCGCTTCGCGACCGAAAAACAGAGAACCCTCTCGGAGACTTCGTCTTCTCTCGTGAAACTCAACATTTGCCGTTAGATCTCGTTCATGTTGGACACTAGCTTTGTATGCATTCACCTCTCTTTGTAAAGTGACTAGCAAACAGTAGCTTCTTGTAAAGCCTCTCTCTTCCGAAGTGTAAAACTTTGGTGCTAAATGAACTCGAACGAGTCTGCCCAGAGGAAGAAGTGTAGGTTGTATTTCACTATCTCTCGATGTCGAGTTTTCCTCAGAGTCAGCTTGTCTCTCTTTTGAATCTGTCACCCCCATTTCTACATATCAATCGAAGTAATTTCGCAACCAATGTTCAACACTGTTAAGGGTCAGTTCCTTACGAATGATTCCGCTTTCGTCCAATTAAGAGAGCCACTCACTGATCAAATAATATTGTAATCTCCATCTCAATTGATTCACTTGAACGATTTTTTGGCATCAGACTTGTCCCTTGCTGTTTCCTGACCTTCCCTCGTTAGATCTGAACCCAACGATCTTTCAAAGAGTTGTCAGGCTCTTAACATAAGCACATTAGAAACAAAGGCACGAGAACTACTTAACTTAAAAACTATTAAGTCCGCCCGGCCCCACGGCTGACATTATTGACACACTTAGCCAGAAACAAGGATACCGCTTATTTTTCGGAAGAAGGCCAGAAGTTAACGAATTGTTCAAGAAGGCCCTTGTTTAAAGGTTGCCGACCTACAAAGTTTACAAAATATAAAGTAAATAAATATGGCGACCGAGCGGTGACTTATTTTAATTTTAAAGAATGCTATTGTGACGCAAGGTGTTAATAAACAAGGTAAAATTTTCTGAGTTAAGATTCTGTATCCAAGGTTACCACAACAGCAGCACGCAATGTGTATGGGCACATACTGTGGGACCATATATGAAGTGACTTCTGCACATAAAAAATGGCGGTTCCCGAATTGCGTGCAGCTGGCCTAATCGTTTTCCGACGGAGGAATTTTAAAGGCCCTTTTGAGTATCTCCTTCTACAGACATCTTATGGACGACATCACTGGACACCTCCGAAGGGTCACGTCGACCCAGGAGAATCGGACATGCAGACGGCTCTACGTGAAACCGAGGAAGAATCAGGGTTGAAGGAAGCTAGTTTAAACGTGATGGAAAACATACAAAAAACTCTGAATTACGAGGTTCGGGGGAAACCCAAGACTGTCATTTACTGGCCTGCTGAAGTGAAAGATTATGATGTTGGAATAAAGCTTTCTGACGAACATCAGGATTTTAAATGGTTGGCCATTGAAAAAGCGTGCGAATTGTTGCATGATACGACTGGGGAAGCTCTGCGTGTTGTGGACCAAGAAATACGAAATATGACGGACTTTTACATTGATACCTACTGAAAATGCATAGCTTCTTTACTGCTTAATTACAGCTCCTCTAAAAATTATGTGCGTAATTCCACAATTTCACTTCTCAATCACTCAAAATGGAATTGTTTCCAAAGAGGGTAAACAATGTTATCAACTGAATTGGTTCGAAAATGCAGGGAAGCTTCATTTGAAGATACATTGCCAAAATATCCTTAAGTCAAGACTGAAATTAATTTCTTTTGAGGTACAATAATTTATTTTTAAGACTTCTCTATTCACAACTAAACATCAAGATAAACACTTAAAATGCATTTCTTTACTCTGAAACTGAAAATGTTCACAGGATGTTACTTTGTTTTAAGGAAAAGGCCAATTAGGGCCTTAGTCAATAAGTCTGTTATTTTGAGGTTTGCTCAGTTGTCCTATGCTTAACTTTGATTGGTCAGTAGGTAGACTATTGACCAGTGAAAGTGTTCACAGTTTTTTGAGTTTCAAAGTAACTAAAATTGTAATAAAACATTACAGTATCACTCTATGTCATTTTCAAACAGCAATTTTTCTCCAATCCTGCTCTTATTGCTTTCAATCCTGCAGTCATTCAGTAAGGCAAGTTGACACCTTCTCTCTTAGGTCTTCAATAGAAGCAACCTTCCTCTTAAGAATTTCATTCAGCTGGGTTGCATAGTCTTTAAAATTCTACATTAAAAGGGAAAATATTTTTTAAAGATTGCAGTTCCTCATTTTGGTGAAGTACAATAATTGTTAACTCCTACTGTTTGTCCCATTAGTTATCAAGTTGTATATTGATTGCAGAGCTGCTAATCTCTCCAAGTTGAAAACCTTGACAGGTTATGCATCCCCTTAAAATACACAATGCTCCCCCGTAAAAAGAGGTGATTCACAAAGGACTGAAATAGTCATCAGGGATGATGCCCATACCCACAATTAGCTGATTGCCAAGGGAACATTGGTTGACAACCAAACAATAACAATGGAACATAATGCTGCATGAGGTGACATGTAACCAGCCAACCTTATTTCCCGACAAATATTGGCAAATGTGGTTGTCACATCATGATTTAAATCCGTACATCTGAGGTGAATACAACACGAGACAGACTTGCCACAGCATTTCAAATGTATGCGGAAGCAAACTGAGTATGAAAGTGCGCTAAACAGGACCCCTTTTTATACTCAAAAGATACTTCACAAAAATATTTATTAAAGTATCAGCATAAAATTTAGATACCTTTGTTCCACTGTTAATTTGTTTTAAAAGCACCATTTCTTCATGGCACAGCCTAGTAACCATGGCAAGTTGTGCGTGATGAGATGCTACAAGCTGTTCTTGATCAAGGCTCAAACAAAATCCATTTTGTTTGACCTCAACCCTAAAAAAGTAAACATTAGGATACGGAATAAACTTCATGCTTTTGACTTCTCTTAACTAGTAAATAAGTTAGAAGTAGTCAAAGATTGATAAAGCATGTTTGATTAATATGTGTCTTAAATACTTTTATTGAATTGGTCTGTTCATGTGCAAGTCAGTCAGCAAGTCTATCACTCTATCACTTAGCCAAAATCTGTCAGTGAGTGACATTACCAGACTTAAGGCCAGTCAGCAAGTCAGCCAGTCAGTTGGTCTGTCACAAGGTGTAGCCAGACAGAGAGCAATTAAGTCTGTCATGTGACCAACAAAGAAATCCTTCTGTAGTACCTTCAGTTGGTAAATATCAAGTTCTCATTATCACAAACTGTAGCAGAATCTGCAACCCAATTTCATTTTTGGTGAAATTAAAAAGCCCTGAAGCACTTAAATAAATGTGAACAAATAATCCTTTTAATATGTAATCTGGAACATTACATTCTCATGCACATCAAATTTACTAAAAAGTCTTGGTAGTCATGAGTACCTTGAATCATTGTCATTGATTTCCAGAGGAAGGTAAGGAGCATTTCCTTGGACCTGTTTTTTCTGAGGTTCAATTATTTTGCCTTCATCACTACATACATTTTCCTTACTAAAGAGCTTTGCGAGTCTGATTTTGATTCCACTGCTATAGCGATCATTTCTGAAAGGTGGGGAAGACTCTTTTTCTTGAATGTTAGCATCAAATGATCTGACAGTGGTTTCACCCTTTCCAACACTCTGTCTACCAGAGGGAGATGACCAAGCTTCCTCTGTGTTATCAAATCCCAATCTGGACTCTTTTACAACCAGTATGTCTGGTATGTTCTGTTCTTTATCTCTTTCCATACCAACATCTTCAGGTTTTTCTTCAGAGATTTCTTTCAAGCAGTTAGACCTGATCTGTGTGTCACTGCAAGACTTTCCTTTTGAACTTGAGGCTCTTGACTTGGCTCTTGACAGATGTGGTCTGATTTTTGCTGATTGATCCTTCACTGTGGCTCTTTCTGGAGAAGTATGTGGCCGCAGCACAGGAGATGGTTCATTCCTCACAAGCCTCTCCTTGGCAGTTGCAGCCATGCCATGTCCACTGGCAATTTTTCTGTGGTTCACTCTCACCACTGAATCTTTAGTTCTAGGGGATGGTGTTGATGTAGATGAAGTCTTTGGCCGTAAAATGTCAATTTGTTTAAATTCTGCTGCTCTAAGCTTTCTTGGGGAGCCTTGGGCTAAAGTATCACTTCTTTTTGCAGGCTGAAGACAAGCAAATACACATTGAAATATCTTTCAAGACATTTACCATTGAGGAAAATGCTAAAAAAGAGCATGCTAAAAAAGCTAAAAAACCTGAAATGAAATTATTGAGATGGATAAAACAGTAAGGAGTATTAAAGGACAGTTTCCACAAAGCGTTTTATTGCAAATTATGACCAAAGAATATTAACTGAATTGACTGCAAAAACATGGAGATTGTTGCGATAGTTGGTATATTTAAATTTCAAATATACCACCTGTATCAATGACACTGACATACCTGAGGTTCAACATCCATTTTGGGTAACCTTTCACTTGTCCCATTGGAAGACATTATCCTGTCTGTCCCAATGGAAGTTGTAAGCACAGTCTGAGGGCGAATGTTGAAAGAACCATGTGTGTCCTTTTTTAATTCCTTCACCCTGAACATACAAATCATGTAGATAATTATTTGACAAATTTAATTATCTTTTCCTTGTACAGATCTAATGAAATATTGTACATCTATTAAGAAACTGCATTGTTCGACCACATTTATTCCTGCAACAAGGAACTTAAAAGAGTTATTATTTTAATTTTTTTTTAATTTAATTTTTTTTCTTCCAGCAATTTGGAAACAAACAAATTTATCAACTGAGGGAAATAACCAGTCTTACCTGTCAGCATATCTGAGAGTATTAAGGGTGTTCTCACTACAGGACTTGGTGGGTGAAATATTGGCAATCATACATGTTTGGCAGTTTCCAACAAATGAATCCTTCAAAACCTTTCGATTTGTAAAAATGTCATTATAAATAATAATATTCACTGTAAACACTTTAAGATACATCATGGAAGTTTAAAGGAATTTCTTTATCCAAGTAATTATTTTTTCATTTATTTCTCTCATTGACACTAAAATTATACAGTGGTCAGGGAGCCTGAAAATTAAACTAGAGAGCTAATTGTGATATTTTGGCCACCCATCTACAATCACAAGAAAATGTAACTGTACATGTGGAAATCATAGATTGCAAATGTAAGAAATATTTAAGATCTAGATATTACACAATTCAAGGTTACAACTACAGTTAAGGAAATCAATACAATTATGCAGAAAAAAAATCCAAACCACAAGTTGATTTAAGAGAGCAACAGTTCTCTTAAATGAATCAGAACAAGCAATCATGTGACACCAATTCTCAAATGAAATTAAAGGGAGCAGCCAAGATACAGTGCTAATTAAAAGCAGCACAGTAAACTAATGAGTATACCACTAGATTGATTAGTAGATTTAATTAGTAAAATATAATTCAATAGTATCCTCAGACTTGAATATAAACTTTAAGATAGCATTAAAGATTCAGAGAAATAGGCTTGTTGGACCAAATATCAAAATAAAGTAGTTTCTTTCTTAAGGCTGCCATCGATGTTTCATCAGTCTTGGTACTGTTTATAAGATGTCCAACATTGTGAAAAAGCTAACTCAAATGCTTTGGGTAGTCAGTTTGATTGGATCGATACGCCTCCCAAAATTACAGTTTAAATCAAACATCTTCCCAGTTTATACATACCCGTGTAAGCTTGCTTTGGCGAAATGGTGTGTGTTTAGAGTCCAGGTCAAGTGCTCGTATGCATTCCTTCAACTAAGCAAAATAGAATATTGCTATTAATAATAAGGAGATTTGATTCAATATTTTTAAATTTACCTTTAGGTAAAAAATAAACATTAATTTACACAGGAAGTATTGCATCAGTATGTGGTGAAAAAGTCACATACTTAAGGCTGCATGCACATTAAATTGCAGACATGTTTTATTGAAAATAGTACATCATTGCAGACTGTAGAAGAATTTTTTTGTGATACTACCCCTGAAAAAAACTTAGAGAATTTCTGATTGTTGCCACATGGTGAAAAGCCTGACATTTGATTCACAAGTATCTGAAATAGGTGAAAAGTAAATGGTGATACCCTCTTCCAAACATTTAACAACTACACTTTCAAACTATCAAACCAATATAGCCTTTAACATACGGCTAGGAGGCTCTGGTTAATTTCAGCTCCTTCTACACGAGTCTGTTTGTCTGTGTCAGTCACATCTGCAGCACGCTCACTTCCAGCCAAATCAATGAATGAAAATCTGTGAATCAAAATTTAAAATTAAATTTCAAAATAACTAAACCTTTCAAAAGAGCTTCTCTCAGATTTATAATGTGGCACACTATGCAAATTTTCCTGGCTTGTTCCTTTGAATTGAAAATCATGTTTCTGACTTATTTCCAAAGAAGTAAACTTAGTAAAATACACTAACATTTTCCTTCTAAAAACTTGAGTTGAAAAACAGTCATTTTAACCTTTATCTAGTATTTACCTAGTAATAACAAAGTATTAATTCAGATGACCAAAAACAAATCATAACATTTACCTTCCAATGAGTTCTTGAGTATCTATGGCCTTTACCTCTAGTTGCAGGATTGCATGGGAACGTGATGAGTCAGCATTCACACCTGTAGCACCTGTGCTCCTGATACTTCCACCATATTCTATCACCTGTTGGTGACAAAAGACAGATCAGATGCAAGCCATAAAATACAGATCTATGTTTTAAGGATAAAAGAGCAGTTACTGTAGAAACTTCATGTAGTTCAAAATATAAAAATTTAAGACAAACAAGTTTGACAGACTAGTTTAACATTACTGAGGAACATCATATTAGCAGAAGGGCTTAGAGCTTGGCAAAGTCAACCAGAAACATCCTTGTAACTATTCCCTTGAGCATTTCATAGGAAGAGATAACCACAACTTGAAGGAATATAGACTCTGCCATACAATTTTGAGAGCTTGTAATGGAAGGCTGGTTGGTCAAAGGGACTATTCACTGGGACTTTTCTCCTTCTGAACGCCTGCCCACATATATGAATACCTCCATGAGTTCCTCTACATTGTGAACACGCTGCTGTGTTAATCCAGTGATGCAGACCTGATGGTTACTATCTTCTCTGGCAAATAACCTGTGATAGAAAGATGAACAAGTACATTTGAGACTGCAATTCAGAATTCACAGACAGAGTGTGAGCAGGAATGGGGCAGTGGTTGGCATACTTTCTCATCTAACATTTTGGTTTGGGCTAGATTCTCAGACACTACGAGCTTAGTTTGTTACTAAATCTTGTTCTTCTACCTTGCCCTCTTTTCCTCCTTCCACAAAAACATTCCAATTCAAATTCACTCGGGAATCAAGTTGACAAACAGCCACTACATGCTTACACCACTGTTAATTTTTCCTTAATTGTTCATATCCAATAATATTCACTTCTTGCAGGCCAACATCCAGCCAGTGATTCCATTAAAGTTACTGCCTTGAATTGTTTAATCAGTGTGGAGTACCATTACATATTGTTTAAAAATGGTTTGTCTTTGAATCTTTAGCTAAAATTAGATTTACCTTGATCTCTCATTCAGAAGGTCAAACAACTGGCCACAGTAAATCTCATAGAAGCTGATCCACAGACCCATTCCACTGC